CCCACTCCACCTCCGCAAAATGTCTCTATACCAGATGATTTTATTCATGTGGAATATAAAGAAACAAAGGAAAGGAACAGACAAAACCAAGCCAAACCAAACCCTTGGAATCCAGTTACAGAATTACCATTATCAGAAGGTTTAATGAGCAAACGGTACAGGGAGTCCAGTGGACTACTGGTGAAGGACTACTGGTATTTTGGTAGTAGATGTGGTGTGGCAAAATTCATTTAAAGAGGTATACTCCGAATACTGTACTCTAAACAATGTTGTAAATCAAAGTTGCCTCAATAAAAAAGTTTTAGATTAAATAACACAAGGCCAATTTAAAAAATCTAAAAGGACTTAGAATAGCTCAAATGAAGAGTGAAGTACTTACCAATTTGGCCAGTCTTGACTTTAAAAGGAACATCCAATTCGCTCTGTAGAAGGAAGAAAAATTGAAAGGACAATTTAAATTATTAAACTTACCAAAAGTCATTTTCCTATCATTTTAATACCCAATTATCTCTAAGAAAAAAATGAAACATATTTTCTATGTTTGGCTAGCCATAAAAGACATGTTTTAATGACTAAGAGGAAAGGTTTTTGCCAACTTAAACTTTAACTCGGAGTGAAGAATTTTTAAGAAACACAAAACTGGGCCTTCCTGATGGCCTAGGGCATAAGCCTCAGTACCATCACCTGAGTTGGATCCTCAACCTGGGGGCTGGCCACATGTTTTGCAGCAGACCTCTCCTGTCTAGCCTACTGCTCCCCTTAGCAACATATTTCAATAAATCCACCTGTTCTGCTACTCCATCTGTCTCTGGAGGATCCTCTCAACACCCACATGCTTGGCCTGTACCCCAATTCTTCTAAGAAGAATAAATTTTAAGAGTAATAAAATTTTTTTAAAGAGAAGCAAAATTATAAATAGAAACAATGGAAAAAGAGTTTGTAGTTAAAGTAAGTGAGCAAACTGGTTACTTGTTTTAATAAACTAAGCCAAGCTCTGAATAGAAATAGCATGAACTTTTTTTTTAAGTTTTATTTACTATGCATACAAGAACTGGGGTAAGGCCAGAGGTGTGGGAGGTGAGAGGACTCACCAGAGACAAGAGTGGGGAGCAGAACAGGCAGGTAAACTGAAAAACACTGCTGAGAGGAACAGAGAGCAAGACAGGAGAGGTCTGCCATGCCATGTGGGTCACCTCCCTGGTCGGGTATTGAACTCGTGTTTCAGTGGCTACCAACAATTTCACAGTGCTGCACCTTAACCCAATGTGCCACTAGGAAGAGCCCAACAAATTGAACTTTTAAAGGAACAAGGGGACACAGCTTATGTGAATTACTAAAAAAGAATTTCATATAAATATGTTGAAAACAATAGCTGAATAATTATCTCTCAAATAAAATATTTTGTCAGTGAATACACAAAACAATCTCAAAAGGCAGATGATTCCCAATATATTTAGCAGATCAGTATTACTTTAGATAACTTACTGACAAGAATAAATCACTTACCTAGATTCCAAACCACTAGGAAGTTCAAATAACTTTTTTATTTACAAAGTACTAAATAGTAACTGACATTATAATGAAAATTTCAGTCTTTAGAATTACTGAAAATTGAACCAGTAATAATAGGCTTTATGCTAAGTGCACCTTTGTATGAATTAATACTACAGAAAACTGGCAACTAAAATACAGTAGTTTAGACAATTAACTAAAATATTCAATTTATCCAATCATCTGATCACTCAACCATTCTAAAAGTAACAGGATTAAACAAAATACTAATTAGCAGCTGTGGTTAAAAGCTTTTTTTTTGTCAAACAAAAACATCCTCACTAATGATCAGATAGCAGCTCCACCCTCACAGATGTGTGGGAAGGGGTATAAATTTGAGGATCTGTATATAGGATACAAAGTATAAACCAAATATATCACACAGTTGATAGAAGGTAGAGCCAGCACTCAAACACCCAGGTCAGCTGGACTCCAAGGTCATGAGGTTTCCCACAATACCAAGTATGTTGTTACACCTTGTGCCAAAGTCCTACTCCCAGGATCTTCAGTATCTGCAACTGTCACCTGAGTGGAGTCACGGGAGCATTGGTGTATAAAGCTCTCCCTAAGTACATGGTTCATCCTGCAGGCATTTGACCAAAGGTCAATAAAACATACTATAGATTTTAAATAGAAATCTGTTAAAAATAAACTCATTTTCAAGTGACTTCATAAACTCAAAATAAATACAATGGGTTGTAAATAAGCCTAAAGATGGCGAGAACAATGCTTTGTTGGAATTTATTATTACTTTCTAGAATTAGAATCCAAAAAACTCTTTTACACTTAACATTACCATATTATAAGACTAGATTGTCAATGTAATTCCAAAATACAGTTACTCATTAAATTGTTAAATCAAGGCCTCATTTACCTGAAAAATACATAAAGGTATGCCTGCATAAAACTATTTCAGTAAGATAAATGTCTACACAAAGCTAAATGGTCAATTAGATCAGAGAAAACATTACATTTTCTAAGAGATACTATTTTGTACATGGGGGGGGGATTTCTAATGCTCTAATTTTTCTTAAAGCAAACAGTTGACAATGCAATATACTTTGAGTGACTCAATCACTTTATCTGGCACCTGGTATCAGATATCTAGTAACCAAGAGTTTCTACGAGCTTACCAAATTAACTTGAGTTACTGCCACAGTTTAAATACTTACCAGAGCATTTTCCTTTATCTGTAGATTATCTAAAGCCACATTACCTTTAAAAAATGAAAAATACAAAATTAATATACTAATTAACATAATCTGTCATAACATACAATACTAAACAATGTGATCTGTGCTAAGTGCTGTGAAGACAATGAGCAAAATAGATTTCAAGAATTTAAAAAGTTATTGGCACAAAAAAAGTTGCTATATTTAGATAAGAATTATAGTTGTAGCTTATGTTAGGTTAGCTCAATGAAAGTAAAATACTTAAAATGGCCAATATTTAAATAGACAAGGAATGTGGAGACTTTTAAAGACTGAGTAACTTTAGAAACAAAGAAACCAACATTTTGAATGATTAAGCCAAAATCTAAAAAGAACATACAGAGATGACCAGTAGGCCACATCAGTTATCAGGTAACCCAGGATTCTGTCCTTAATTATGTTGTCAATCAAACTGTCTTCAGCAATAACGTGTTAGTCTTTTAAAACTCCAAATTTCCTGCCTTCCCAATGATTATCATTTGTTTTTCTAATATTCTTTAATTAATAGTTTTTCATAAATATTTTCAGATGTTGCTACAAAAACCAAAGCCATGAAAATATTATAAGATTCAAATTTTAAACTGTACCTATACTATAAATATACTATTAATCAAAAAGTATTCTTGCTAGAAGTGACAAGATGTCATCACTGACAAAAATACAGTAAAGATAATACAGTAATCAGGGAAAACTGACAAGTTACACAATTAGAAAAAAAATCCTTAAGAATGTATAAAATAATATATGTAGTAGAAAAAAATTCCTGGATTTAATTTTGAAGACTTGCAAACTTGTTCATGAATCCTACCAAGAAATTCTTATCTACAGAGTCAAGTGTCACTGTGAGTGCTCACAAGTAACTGGCACTAAAGATATGTGCACTAACATAATATGTGCAAAAATATAAATGTCCTTATAAAAAGAGATTGTTTCTACTGCAGTGCCACTTTAGTTATTTAATAAAATACTATATATATAACTTTTAAGATGTGAAATATTGATAGTGACCAATATGGCTAACAAAATATGTAAAGACTGACAAAAAGAGGTAATAGTGATTACTGTAAGGCAGTAGAATTGAGAAAGGGTTTTTCAAATTAATATTCTTCAATATTTTATAACAATAAAATAACTTTTATGTTAAATTTGTTAAACTAATTTTACTAAGAAAAGCAAATTCTAAAGTCAATATGACCTCCATATGTTTTATGTAAATTACTCCAGTACCTAATATCTACCTTACCTACAGACACACTGTAAAGAAGACCAATTTCTACTATTCAGAGCCTAGCACATAATTGCATACTTCCTCCCTGAAAACGATGAATGTTATCTAGCAAATAGTTAGTATAACAAGGAAATAGGACAACAGAGCATAAATTATTTGCACTGAAGGAGGAGCCACTAGTCTTAATACAAAGAAAAAGGAAGTAATAGTGGCATATTTCAGATTAAACACTAAGGTCAAAGTGTATTCATTCATTCAGCTAGTATATGAACACCTTATCTAGGTAAGGCACTATGCAAACAGGTACATTTCTACTAAACTGCATGCTTTTCTGACAAATACATATGCAAGAGTTGTACTATCTATCCTATGAATGCTAGAGATTCTGCTTTTAATTTTTTTTAAAGTAATTTGTAAGACTAAGACTAAAGCTGACCTACTCCTAATAATCAACCCTTTTATATTTAAATACTGAAGGAAACGTTAAGATTTAGTTTTCCTTGTAGTTCCTTATACATGTAGTTCCTTACACAACTTCACTGCTGTAGTCTAACCTTCCAGGTTAAGAACTCAGAGGCCACAGGAAGTTCTTAAAAAACCTGAAGGAAGTAAATATGTATGTCTAATCTAAAAAAAAAGAAAAAAAGAAAAGAATGACTAATAATTGGAGATAAACAAACTTGGCTCTGCTAGTTAGGGAGGCCTAGAAGCCAACTTCACAATCTCTAATACTATGAAGTTCCAGAGATACACAAGTAGTTCCAGTCAGCGATGCTGATATTCTGCTGTGCTGGGCGAACAGGCCAAAAGGATGAGAGTAAGCAGTAAGTGTGTTCTGTGCATTCAAAAAGAAGGCTTCTGATTTTTGATCATATGTAATCTTTAGTAGGCGTATTTTAGAGGTGCATACATAACTAGAGAGTCACACATAAAGTTTCAAAGCCAGTTTTGACAAATATTTAAAGAAGCACATCAAAAGGATAAACCTTGGATCAAAATTTAATATTTACTAGTGACTCAGAAGATGGAAATGAAAGTAAATCCATTAAATTAGTAAATGACACCAACGTAAGCAGAGTTGTAGTCATCTCAAAAATAGATAAAATAGATAATTGTTAAAGTATAGAATAGATAAAATAGTTGTTAAAGTACAGAAAACAACAAAATAAATACATTTAATTTTTTTTAAAAAAAGCAAATGGTACTGGCAAAGAATGGAACAAGCTATCTAAGTCCAACAATAGTTTTAAAAATAAATGTAAAGAAATATAGTACTGTTGTTAAATATCCCCAGTCAGAAATAATCCACCTGAACTTTGAAGTAGCTACCTGTACCTTTCTTATGGCACTTTAAGCTATGTAAATCCTCAAACTGATTATAAATTCATTAATGATTCTGATAATAGATGCCCAATAAATACTGACAAAATTGAGATAGAATGCATAGTATAGTGAGGTAGATACAAGAACACAAATAATAAGAACACAAATCTTTGTATTTTAGAAAACACTCTCAGATCTATTACATTACTCGATCTTCACTGTTTTCTAGTTAAGACAGGACATAAATATAAGCAAAAGAAACTCAGACTTAAACAACTGATCTTCAAATACTGTATCAACCTGGTAAATGGTAAAGCCAGGGTTCAAATGACCAGGTGTCTAATGCTGTGTGCAGAACATCATACTATCTCCCAAAAATCAGAGCAGAATGGGTAGAGGATCTGAATTAAAAAAATAATTCTATCACTGGGAGGGAGGGGGGAATAATAGAATTAGACTCAGCCCTGAAATCTAGGTATTGAAGAGTCTACTTTCAACCCTTGCACTTAAGAGTGTGAAAAAGTTCAAAAGCAAAGGGTAGCTAAAATCAGTATAATCAGAAAGGAAGAATACAGTCAAGGTTTGTTAGGTGAATTATCATGAGATAGAACCATGGAAGAAAATGTAAGAAGGAGGGCATTGGAAAATGGTTGTTTCAGTACTTTGTAAAAAAATCGCCATCTGTCTAAAAACAGCAATTCACAAATCATCATTCAGAACTATTAAGGACCATAAAGATCTTTCTACTTAATCCTCTTTAAACAAAAATAAATTAAAGACTAAAGAGATCAGGTGGTTTATCCAAGATTATATCATTACTTTACAGCAGTGCTAAGAATATGTCTCCTGACTCCCTGGTCAAGGCTCTTAAAGAAAAACCAAAAACTAATTAAAAGTGAAAACCAAAAGGCCCTCCCTGGTGGTGCAGCATGTTAACGCACAGCACCAAGAAGCTAAAGCCACTTCCACATGAGTTCGATCTCTGCCTGCCCTGGAGGTGACCACATGGCGCGGCAGACCTCTCCTAACCCACCAGCTGCTCCCCTCAGCAGTGTACTTCATCGATCTGTTCCCCACTCTGTCTCTAGTGAAGCCTCTCACTGCCTCTGCACCTCTGGCCTGTACCCCAGTCCTGTATGCACAAATAAAATAAATCTTTAAAAAAAAAAAAAGTGAAAACCAACAACAAAACGTCATACTTAACACATGAAACTACCTTTGCATATTGTAAAGTAGAAAAAAAAAATGCTATGTACTTTTAAAAGTTCCTATGTGGGGCCCTCCCTGGTCGCGCAGCGGGGCACTGGGTTAAAGCACAAGCACTAAGAAGCTAAAGCCACTTCAGCATCAGTTCGATCCGTGCCCCAGAGGTGACCCACAGGGTATGGCACACCTCTCCTGACTCTCCCGCTGCTCCCCTTAGCAGTGTACTTCGTCAATCTACCTGTTCTGCTCCCCAGTTTGTCTCTGGTGAATCCTCTCACCTCCCCTGCACCCCAGTTACGTATGCATAAATAAATAAATCTTAAAAAAATAAAAGTTCCTATGTGTATCAATAGCACTCATTATTTAAAATTTAGAAAAATAATTATATTCATTCTCCAAAGAAGTAAGCCAGAGTAAATGACTGACCAGTTTTTAAAGCATTAATCAAATTATTTTAATAACTAATATTTTAGTAAATACAGAAAATATTGTAATGACTCATGACAACTGAATCTTACATGGAACCCAAATTAACCAACCATGCTCTTTTAACAGGAGTTTACAGTGACTCTCTTTTGGTAGGGGAAGGTGAAAGTCCCAGAGGAAACAATTGACTTTTTTCCCACTTCCCCATTAGAAGAGAAGTCTTGGCAGCAAAAAATGGAAAGCTGCCATACAACCTATGAACTTTCTCCTTTTCAAGTACACTTCAGGGATCTCATTAAATAGTGGATGGTGTGGTAGAGCTTCCTAGCAGAATGGTCACCTGAATAACAATTTCTAGTTCTATTTCTAGGAAAGGGGTGAATTTTTAAATTTATGATGCTGTTAAAATATGTCAAAAAGTATTTTCAATTCAAATTATAAGCACTGCTTTAATAAATGAGCCTAAATATATTATATTACAATGTACTTTTTTTTTAAGATTTATTTATTTGTGCATACAGAACTGGGGTACAGGACAGAGACTCAGGGGCGGTGAGAGGATTCACCAGAGACAGAGCGGGGAACAGAACAGGCAGGTCGACAAAGTACACTGCTGAGGGGAGCAGCGGGCGGGTCAGGAGAGGTCTGCCATGCCATGTGGTCACCTCCAGGGAAGGCGGGAATCAAACTCATGCAGGAGTGGCTTTAGCTTCTCAGTGCTGTGCTTTAACCCGCTGCGCCACCAGGGAGGGCCACAATGTACTTTTTATTTTACATGCGATAGGCAAGCTGATGAGAAATGTGCCTTTTACAATACCAAGT